GCAAAGCCTGAGTAAGCCAAAAGGGGCAGATATAGTTATAATTAGATATTAACATTTTGGTCATTTAATGATTGATCTAACTGCCGAGCAGCAACCGACGCCAACTTTTTTCAATTGTTGGAACCCATATCTCCTTTAACTACATTTGTAACACTCGGTTTCACTTCACACTTTCTGCATCCATTCATGGGGAGATTAATGTGTGCACTGCCACTGTCCATCCAATTCATATCCACAAAATTTTGTTTGACTCATACCACTGGAAAAAATTTACTTCTGGGCCAGGTCTCTGCAGATCCTCAACTAGCCTTTTCTGCCACCCTAGACTGAATGCTCTCACTGCAGCATGAAAAAGCAGCTGGTAAATCCCCAACAGTGAGGGGCTCCCTTGACTGTGTGTGATGCAGAATGTGCATCAACTCACCTCAGCCAGGTCCACTGCCATTTGCATGAGCCATGTGTTTACCTGTGAGCTGACTGAATTTCCCAGTAACAAAAGCATAATGAGCTCTGAATGAGGTGTAACATGCTCAGTCAAAGAGGTGACACTTGCCAACACATGATAACACAAAGATTCCCATCATTGCACACTGTGACACTAGCTTCCAGGCTGTTGCTGGTTTGAAAAGCTGAGAAGGGATGACTGAAACATGATTAACTAGCTTGATTGACAGGTCAGGATGTGATTTTAACACACTTCTCCATCTGCCTGCATATGTACATTAGCACAACTGTGACACATTCCAGAAATACTACAATCTTTTATCAAAAAAAAACAAAAAACAAAAATATCCAGGCACAAAAAAATACTTTTTTTTGCTTAGTTTATATTTTAGTTAATGAGTGTTACTTGCCTGTTACCTGTTGCTGTTTTACTGGCAATCATACATGGACAGAATATGAAGATGTTTTTTCAACAGATCTATTTAAATATGTAACAGTTCCTTTAAATCAATATTATTATTGTGAAAAAGGAATTGAAATGGACACTCTAAAAACAAGGTATGATTTTATGTAAAACTAAATGAGTTATTATACCGTATGATATTTTACAAAAGCCCTTCACTGTTCTTTTAGCTAATTAGACCTCTTTTTTGCGAGGTTGGCAGCAGTGGCTGTTAAATCTGCTGATTAGAAATGAGAAGGTGAAGTAGAGAAAACATCCATACTCATCCATTTGAGGTGATGCCAGCCTAGGAGAAGTGTTATGGGCTGGACCAGAAGAATTCTTTATTAGTTCTTCCCCAAGAGCAATTTAATCAACTGGCAATAAAATTCCCGCTGACCGAACCTGTACAGTATGCACCAAAAGAGCAAAGCAGAAGTTATGGGTTTACTAAATATCAGCCCTGCAAGAAGTTGCAGCGACACAAACTTACATAACATGAGTTTTGCAAGTTGCAACATTATCACTTGTGAATCATATCATTTGGCAAATGACAGCTACACATTTACAGGCAATGCAAAAAAATGATTCAGTGATGAATAATGTCACAGATTTTTAGTCCACAGCAAAAAACAGCGGCAATGTAGCCCAAAAAACTGATAGGACTGCAGTGACACTTTTACAGTGTTATACTGCCACAGAGACCGCCAGAGGGGCTGGCAGCACAATTACACAAAACCTCAAATTACATTCACCTGGGACAAGCTTGGGCACCTGGCAATTGACAGCTATGCGCCATTCAGTGGAGCTGACAGTGTCCTTCAGCTCCTAATGTTAAATGTCACACCACTGAAGACCATTTTCATATTTGTCTGCAATTTGGAACATTAAAATGCCCTATGATGCCACTAAATTGTAAGTGTGAAGACATTCTTTGTGCTATGTTCATACCAGTTAAGAGGGCACTAAGGATAATGATCAGAAAAGATAATACTGTACTGCTTCCAACAAAAGTGACACACACACACACACACACACACACACACACACACACACACACACACACACACACACACACATTCAATGTCTTTCCCTCATAACGTGATTCCTATGTGATTAAAGCAAGCACTGTCTGAAGCATCTCCTTAGGGCAGAAAGTACTCTTGTGAATTTCAGCCAGTGTGAGGGTATGTCATAAGAAATTTGGCATATTTCACACTATCACACCTTTGGTTTAATATGATCACTGTGCAGAACACAGTTTTTTGAGCCCAGAAGCTCTCTTTAGAAACCACATCATTAGACAGATGCCCCTTAGTGTGCTAACACGATCACTGAGCTGTGTAATCTGGCTCTGACACAGTTGGCATGCATCATTACTACCCAGAGAATCACAAGATAGATTCATGACATTGGAGGGGTTGATAACTGTTCAACAGAGGAAGAGATGGATACCTAATCACCATTCTGCTGTGGCTGCTAACAGCCCGTTTTCATATTAGACAAAGCCACAATTAGATCCTGACTGTCCCAGGTGACAGCTCCCATAGCAACAGGCGGGGATGTCTGCAGTTTCACAGCAATATCTCTCACCACTGTCTTGTTGCTTAAGTTAAGTTCCTTAACTAAAGCTCACAATTTATGAAACTTTCCATCAGCTGGATGCAGAATCACACAAAATTAACACCTCACTATGGAAAAAAACGTTAAATGTTAAAATTTTAGACTGTGTGTAGACACAAAGTATAAAGTACGCTATCTACTCGTGCTGACAGTGCACTATTTTGACATGTAGTACACAAGAAAGTACACATTTTGTAGACGCACACTAACAGGGAAATGGAAAACTCTGTCTGAATACTACTGTGAGTGCTGTTTTCACAGGGATTTTTTTGAGTATTTTCTTCATTTCTTTTGTACCTTGTATTGTGGGACACTATACTGTAAATTAACATCAAAATCACTTTATGAAAATCATATGCTAGCATTTTAATTGTTTATTTGTCATGTTTCTAGTGTTAACACCGTACATACCGAAAACACAGTATAAGCAGACCTATAGTGTAAAATTAGGGCATGAAACTTCAGTACACTCCTAAGTCCTACTCGACATAGACACAAGTTTGATCAAGTATCAGTGACTCTCAATGACTTATCAAAGTTTGACAGCCAAGAATCTTGGTGTTATGTTTGATCCTGCCCTCTCTTTTGATCAGCACACCGAGGCGGTCTTTTTCCACCTGTGCAACATAGCTGAAATCAGTTTCTGTCTGGATGCCTTTATTTCATCCAGACTTGATTATTATTTATTATTATGTATTATTATTTATTTATTATATATTATTATTTCATCTAGACTTGATTATTATAACATTTTGTTGTCTGACCAGAGTTCTGCAGCAAGAATCTTAATTGTAACTAGAAAACCCTAATTCAACAGTTTTAGCTTCCCTTTTACCTTTATTGGCTCCCTATCCATGTCAGATCAAATTTTAAGGTGTTATTGATGACTTGTAAATGAGCACGCCCAATCACACCCGTCTGATCACCTTAAACCTTATATTCCACCCTGACTCAGCTTTAAATCCAAACTTAAAACTCATCTTTTCGCCTTAACTTTCAACTAGATGTTTATTTTCAATTATTTCAGGCTTGTACCTGTTACCTGGTACCTGTCCGGCGGTTTGGTCTCAGTAGTACCCAAATCTATTCTTCATTTGTCTACAATCTTTCAATAATTATGTCTTTATGTCTCTAGCCTTCAGTACAGTAGCAATAGCATATGGATATTTCATGCTGCACAGGTAGAACAGGATTTAACATTAAATGTATGCTGTGTGTCCTGTTATGCTGCTAATTGCAGCACTCAAAATATACCCTGTTCTTTTCTACAGCACACATTTTGACTTGTTGTAGTAGAAAAAGCACAGGAAATGAAACAAATGTCATTAACGATCTGTTCCATGAAGTGTCCCATGAGCCTTGACAGTGAGCCAGCATGCACAATACCAGGGCCGTGAAACAAGGTTACATAAATGGAATGCAGTCGTTTTTAATGTTATCAATTACACATGTGCTTTTGCTGCTATGACCCAAAATGTCTGCTGAGAATAAGCTCTACCTGACCCCTTTAAGTCCCACATTAGAAATCAGTGAAACTGTCATCAACAACGAGAAACAGCTGGTCAAGAAAATCTGTGCCTTCCGAACAATCATCTCATCTACGAAAAGGGACTACATTAATAAATAGCAATGTACACATCAGTGCACACAGGTTTAAACATAACGTATTTCTTTGCTTCAGCGGACCAATTACTATTTTCATAGGGTTTCTAATGTGCTTTGGCAGAATCAACACATTAATTCACTCAATTCTTTCATTCTCTTGAATTCTAAAATTGGTCATAATCGTCTAAAAAAAGAGGAAAATAAAGACAATTTGTGTAAAAATTATTTAGATGTTCTTTAAATAGAAAATAGTAGGCTTAAAACGTTTGAAAAGCTGTACATACATAGCAAGCTGACCTACAATTATCACTTACAATAAGTTCTTTAAGAATTGCCTTGCTTAATCTTACACATCCAACACACAAACAGAGCAACATTAGTTATAGTATAGTCATTTGTAGTGCAATATTCACTCTCTCGCTCTCTTATTTTTTTTAAGCTATTTTGGTGTCCAGCAACTCCAGAGAAAAAATATCTTGGTCTATAGCTTGCTTGTATGTTCAGCTAGCTGCTAACTGTGGCTGGGCAGATATACCTTAGTTGGTTTCATTAGAGCTTTTTTGCTGCATTACTTACATCGTTCTCCTTTTCTCCATGGTGTCACTGTAGTTAATACATCTGACATTCAAAAACAGCGAGAACGAGGGCTGAATTTGCACTCTTAAAGTGGATTACTATGGTTTATTTTTCATTACACTACAGTATATGGGAGGGAGGGCTGTAACGTTAGCTGTATCTCTTGACACCTAGTACATTTAATCCTTTCAACATCACCCACAATAATCGCCTTGGGCATTCAAAACTTTCTCTCCTCACTGGAAGCCTAACCCCCTTCAACCCCACGGCTGTAAAGAAGTCTTACTTGTGTCGTTTTCTATCACTGCAGGGAGAAACTGACTTCCCACGTTGCTGGTGACCATGCTGGAAGGGGCGGAAGGCGATGCTCCTGAACATCCCGTCCTCTGCTGGCTCCTCCAGCCTCAGCTGAGGGATGACATGCCCGAAGGCCATTTCCTCTGTAACAGGTGTGCGCTCTGGTAACGGTGTTTAGCAAACTTGCTAACATAAGTTCTCTGAGTTCTGCAGCCCATTCAGTGTGGAGATACTACTACTACTACCCAATGAAGGCTACATTGTGTTTCACCAGCAGCTGGATCTGCTCTGCGGTCTGCAAGGCGAGGTGGAACTGCCTCCTGTTGGAAGTGGAGTCTGGGGACCTGCGGGTGTCCTCGAGAGGGTTCCCAGTTAAGTGAGAAAGTTATTTCACTCACTTTGTGCCTCACAATTAATTAGCACATTGTCTATGACTATAAAAAAATCTTCATTCTATCAGACTCTCCAGTGCCCTGGTTGTGCCTCTACATTAGCGATTAGAGGTAAAGATGGCGTGTACAAAAGTACAAAGGCATTTGAACGGAGTTCACACACATTTTATAGTCTACTGCATGCAATGATTTATCTTTCACAGGCACATTTACGCACATTTTGAGATTTTTTAAGCTGGAAAAGTATAAATTAAGAATTTTCTGAAAGGTTAATTGATGTTTTCCTGAAAGTAGTCACGGTTATGGTTAAGGTGATTATTATTCGTGTTAAGGATAAGCATCACATATTTATTCTCTGTCTGACAAGATTTGGATTCTCATTCAATGATTCTCCTCTTCAGAGTACAGTATTATGGATCTCCTTTGTCTAATTTAGCCGACAGTTAATTTTACTTGCTTGCGCCATTAAAAGATACTGTATCATTAATTGCCTCATTTTTCAATTAGATGGACAAATAGCTTTCAGAATTAGGTTTCTAGTTTACTAAATTGATATTCATGCATCTTGCTTCCCATGTTTAAAAAGGAAAATCAAATACTTTAATTATTGAATATTAAGCTATCGTGTTGGCTGTATATCTTTTGACTTGTGAGACTAAGCTCAGTTTGCAGGCATTTTCTGACACAGTACCAAAAAAAGGTGACTCATCCTGCACCGGCTCAATTAAAAGCTCTACATGAAACACATCAGTTGTTCTAGTTAAGCAACTTTTTCTCACCTTTAAACCTCAGAAAATCACAATTTAAATTAATGCTCACATTTATCAGGGATGTCATAGGTGCATTAATTATAATTGGGCCTGTCAGATAGAACAGCATCAGGTACAATATAGCCTCCACAAATGGATAATTTCTCCGTAGTCTGTCTATATGCAACTCAAGTTTTTAAAGTGGAATTGCAGCAGAGAACGAGCGTCAGAAATAGCATGCTATTAACCTCTCTATCTAAATTTATGACAGCACTATAATTAGTGTAGTTGTCAGAGAGTGAAATATACTTTAGATGTGGGCCACAGAGCAGTGTTCATTAGCTAGAGATAATCAGTGCAAAGACACACAAAGCACTGGGAAAAGTCCACAGTATTATTCCAAAATAGTGAAGCTAATTTATCGCCATCAGTGGTGTGCTGGAATACTGTGATTTTAAACCATTCTTTTTAAAGCCGGTTGTCAAAGGTTTCAGATTGATGAAATGCATGGATGAGTTTATCATGGATAAAAGTATTTTTTTTTTTTTTTATTAAAATCGAAACAGCAGCAGTCCACACTTCTGCTTCAACCCCATTTATCAATATATTGTGTTGCACCTGGTACACATATCAGGTTCCACCAGAGGGAGCTTCAAGCAAAGCCACTCAGGTACAGCACCTATACTCAATGTGACAGACCAACAATATTAGTTATCTTCTTCCATGGAGCCATATAACACAACAGTGCACAATGTGTCGCTACATGAATGGATAACTTTTATAATTTATTAACAAACAGTGTTCATGGTTAAATTAGGAAACAGTTTTCTGTGGGGACACAGAAAATGATAACTGGTGAATAGTGACAAGGTCAATGTCCAAGAAAGTGGGAAATATTATCCAGGCCTCACAAACTTTGATTAAAAAAGGATGATACAAACATTTATAGTTCAGCTAGACTGCCACATTCCAAAATTTGCCTTTCTGTTGATATGGTTTATGCATGAGATTTCTGATTAGCTAATCTCAACTGACGATGTGTGATTTCTCTCGTCTCATTGATTTAGGATTTCTCTCATCTTATTAAGGGCCTATGAGAATCACAGATAACAGGAGAGCTATTCCCAATCAACACCAGGGGGTGCAATTATATAAGTGACTTCAATTATGAAGGCCTTGTGTGGCAATCAAAAAGTATTTACTTTTGCAGATTACAGAGGGAGACCGAGAGCAAAATACGATTTGGTATTAATTAGGCTACAAAGCTCGCTTGGAGCCAAAAAATTAATTTTCTGTGTGATGACATATTTTATTTTGTACTGGGATAGTTGTTAATTCTTAATTGTGACACATGCTCTTAGACGATTTGTAACAGTGATGTTTCCTAAATAAACACACAAAATAGCCAAATGTGGATTATGTCTATCTAAGTGTAAATAACATATTCTCTCTGTAACACTGGAAATCACCATCTTCATCAGTTTTCTGATGGTTCACGCTGTAACCAAACGACGTCAACGCAGCACTTGAATGCACTGATAAGTGTGTGTACATGTATGTGCATGTACATGCCAGTGAGAAAGCTTTATGGCAGTGTCATCACACATGGCCAATCATGTGGAACAGTGGGCACAGAGGCATGGAACAGAGAGTAGAGAAATGCGACCATGGCCTTGAAAATTGATCTTGCTTAAAATGGATGCTGTGTTTTGAAAAGATGTAAATTTAGCAAGCAGTCTGCAGCCAACTCCTCAACAAACAGTCAGAGAACAAACTGGTAATTGTATTATCCCCCATGACTGGTTCGTGTGCATTTACTCAGAGCTTTATTTCCACATGTTCAACCCACTTCTGTGACTTTGTGTCGTACCTTTTGTGTGCATCCTTGAAGTAAAGATAAAGTCACACCCTGTCTCTTTAACCAGGGTTGACACGGACACTCCATCTTGGCAGTTCAATAGGTTGTCAACATAAGAAGAACATTCAGAGGGAAGAGATGAATGTCAGTCAATAAGTGGCTGACAGGTCAATAGATATCCCTGACCTTGTTGCCAGGGGTGTGAGTGTCACGATGAAAGGCTGGAGATCGAGAGAGACTATGGAGGTGAAAGGACAAGCCCAATTGCTGTGTCCTAAGCCACTATGAGACCACAGATCATGATGGACTTACAGATGGTGATGTCCAGGCTGTAATAAAATAACTTCAAAGCCCATATCGGTGATGTTGTATGTTTAATCCATGTATGAAGGTCCTGGTATGGCCCTATGTAAGAGCACTGGATGATGCCTCATTCATTCCAATGAAAATGCTTACTGGCTGCATATGCATAACACTTTCTTCAGGCTTCTACATTTTCTGGCCCTTGAATGGCATGACAATTATATATTCATATGCCTGTTCCTTACTTTTAAATGAATATAAAAGAAATATGAATTAAGTCATTGTTAGCGTGACCGTACAAGCATATTGATGCTTAGCAGGTATAACATTTACCATGTTCACCATCAAAGTTTAGCATGTTAGTGCCAATATTTGCTAATTAGCACACAGCGCAACTAAGACCGATGGGAATTTCCGTTGCCTTCCTGGTATTTGCTTTTAGAACAAAGTATTTGACATATAAAATGCTTTACCTGTTTATGGCATAGAGTAAAAGACAGAGGATCACCAAAGTTATTACAATTCATCCTGAGGGGGGACATGAATGATATGTCATTTAATGAAAACCCATCCCAATAGTTGTCGAGACACAAATGTCAACCTCATGGTGGCGCTAAATGTCGTTGTCAATAGGATTAATAATCTGGGAATTATGAATGTCTGTACAAATATTGTATGAATTCATCAAATCAATGTTGCGATATTCGAAGTATAATTGAAAAATGTGACCTGCTTGTGGTGTAACAGGCGAAGTCACGATCACCAAAATTAGTAGGATTCATTCTCTTGGGAAAATGACATTTTCCCAAGAGCAAAATATGATTTGGTATTAATTAGGCTACAAATGTTGCTTGGAGAGAAAAAAATTATTTGACTTAGATGAGTTTTTATTTGAAACTGAAATATTTATTTGAAATTTAAATTTATTTGACTTACAAGAGTTTGTAAGTCAACTTACTTAGTCTCGAAATTTGCTTAAGATAGCAAATACATCACATTGCAGTCATTTACCATAACTGCATTACCATCATTCTGTAATAAAAACCTGGTAATGCAACATGTGAGCAGGAATTGTTTTGAAAACCTTCCTTTGTTGATTGCACACAAGGTTATTCCTAGACTTGCTGAGCATCAGAATCAACCTGTTTAATGCAGAAATTAAAACATTCATATTGTGTACACCCATGTTTGCTTATTTTTTTGCTTTCTGGGTGATATTTGTCTCTCACCCATGTAATGCTTTTTGGCAGCCGTCAAATTTCACTTTAGCCAGCCAACTCAGGTTGACTTGTTATTATGTGAATACTCATACAGTATTTTACAGAGAATGAAAAGAGGCTCTGACCTCATCACCCCCATCAACATACTGGACACCAAGATCAGTTCAGTGGAGACTGGGGACTGACACATTCCAAAACCCACTGCAAAGGAAAACTTTGCAAAAAAAATATTTACAAATACCCGAGCTGAACATGTCTATGTCGCTTAGGTGTGTTAAATACAGTAGCAGGAAAAAAGTATGTGAACCTGGATTTCTGCATAAACTGGTCATAAAATGTGATCTGATTTTCATCACAATAGACAAACACAGTCTGCTTGATCTAATACCACACAAACAATTATATATTTTCATTTCACAGTGCAGGGTGGAAAAAGTATGTGAACCCCTAGGCTAATGACTTCTCCAAAAGGTATTTGGAGTCAGAAGTCAGACAACCTTAAGTCCAATCAATGAGATGAGATTGCAGGTGTTGGTTAGAGCTGCCCTGCCCTATAAAAACACATCAATTTGCTATTCCCATGAAGCATTGCCTAATGTGAACCATGCCATGACCAAAAAAGCTCTCGAAGACCGAAGATTAAGAATTGGTGAATTGGATGAATCTGGAAAGGGTTACAGAAGTATCTCTAAAAGACTTGATATCCATCAGTCCACAGTAAGACAAACTGTCTATAAATTAGAAAAAGTTAAGCACTACTCTCCCTAGGAGCGGCCGTCTTGCAAAGATGACTGCACGAGCAAAGAACAGAATGCTCATTGAGGTTAAGAAGAATGCTACCTAGAGTGTCACAGAAATATCTGGAAAATGCTAACATCTCTGTTGACGACTCTACGATACATAAAACACTAAATAAGAATGTGAGGACACCACGGAGGAAGCCACTGCTGTCCAAAAAAACACTGCTGCACATCCAGAGTTTGCAAAAGAGCGCCTGGATGTTCCACAGCACTACTAGCAAAATATTCTGTGGACAGATGAAACCAAAGTTGAGTTGGTAGGAAGGAACACACAGACCCTATGTGTGGAGGGAAAAAGGCACAGCACACCAACATCAAAACCTCATCCCAACTGTGAGGTATGGTGGAGGGGGCATCATGATTTGGGGCTGCTTTGCTGCCTCAGGGCCTGGAAGGGTTGCTATCATCGACGGAAAATTTATTCCAAAGTTTATCAAGACAATTTGCAGGAGAATGTAAGGCCATCTGTCCACCAGTTGAAGCTCAACAGGAGAAAATAAAACCAAATGAAGATGCCACAAGACCAATTAAGTAGTCATTGAATATTTTATTTGCAAATGAAAGAGTAATAACTCAGAAGTCGTAAAAATATACATTTTTTACTTGTGATATTTACATGGATTGTTTTCATCAAACGAACAAACTGTTTTACAAAACCAAAGAGAAGCCACAGCAGAAAAAGAGATGAGAGTAAAAGAAAACAAAAGTGTCATACATTTCCCTTTAGTAACGCCGCGCTGAGCGTGTCTCCCCCTGACATCGAAACAATGTAGTCAAGAGAAACAGCCAACCACACAGATCCCACACAGACCGGTGATGAGCACAGCACACAAAAAAGTGCAAAGTACATGGATGATAAATTCAAAATAAAGAAGACAAAATAAAGCTTCATAAAATTTTCTGTGAATATATTTACAATTGTAGATTATCTTTATTTATTTTTTAACTATTTTTAGCCGAATACAGTTATGTTACATCAAAGCAAAGCATTCCCTTTCGTCTGCTCAATCTCCTATGACATGCAGGTACCTTTGCTTTCATTCTTGAGGTTGACTACAGCCCCATCCATCTCCTCTCTCAAAAGTAACAATACATCACATTCCCTATACTGGCATACAAGGCCAAACCACAAGGTCTGAGCATCACTTTGCCCTGCTCCACAGCTTTAATCGGAAATAAAACTGCTTAATAGAACATGAAACATTGTGGCTACACGAGATTCATACTACTATCATATAACGCAGGATAACTATGAATGATTTCATGTTTACTGCACCTTTGAGTGTTGACAACAAGACAATATATAGTGCTGATGGATACTGTTTTAAAGAATGGTATTGAATGTGCTGCTGACACTGAGGTGTGTTAAGACTTTCCTCCTCCACTCTCTACTGAACTGACAAAAGCTCCTTAAAATCCATTTGTTGGAAAGAGCGCAAGTTTTGTCAGGGCACAAAGCTGCACACATGAGAGGAGAGATGCAATGTGAGGGCTCATAAACTGGGGAATCTGCCACCTGAGACTTGCAGTTGCTGGAAAGCAAATCAAAAAGCTTGGAGGAATTTAACAGCTGGAAGACTTGCATCCCATCCTCCACCTCAACTGCTACTTTCATCTGTGGTGGAGGATATTTCAATGGCAAGAGCCTACAGCCCTGGCTTAATATCAATTCTGTTATACCTCTCCTGATTCCCAGTACTACTGTCCCATGAAGAACGTCTTGGAGCAGATGCTATGCAGATTGTTGCATAGCAGTGTCTATCTTTCCGGGTGCATGTGTGTTTGCATGCATGTGTCTGTGTGTTTTGTTTTACAGTAACTGTTTTTGTATATCTGTGTGTGTGTGTGTGTGTGTGTGTGTGTGTGTGCAGATGTCCCTTGGGTGATAAAGTGTCCCTTTCTGTGCTGCATTTAGTATCCTGGTTCCATCAGTCAGTCGTAATACCTCCAGACATTCAATCCATCAAATTGATTCTGAAGGAGCACAAATAACAAGGATTGCTGTTTGGGCTTTTGTTTTTGTTTGAGTGCATGTGTGCATGTGCAACTGTGACTGTGCATGAAGCACACACCTGTGTTTCCATGTGGACCTGAATGTGCCATGTGTACCTGTTTATGTGTGTGTATATACAACTGTTTGTGTATGCCTTGAGATGCCATTAGTGCATCCAGGGCCAAGTGTGTTTTATGTTAAGAGACAGCAAGAGAAGGGAGGGAGTGTACAAGTGGCCTCCAGAACTGACGATAGTTATGAATTATGGACATGCTTTGTCTTGAGACACCACCCCCACAAGCAAAAACATGACTGCTGTCTGTGAAGCCAAGTGCAATAGGCATATAAGTCAGTGAAAACTAAAATGAACACTGCCAGTCTGCAGTCATATTAATTTGGGTAGAGGTTACTTTGCCCGATTATTCCTGGATCCTTCTCACTCATTGAATGGCTAACATGAGAATGTGTGGGTGTGGCCCAAGGGCTTATACTGAATTTACATGCACACACCCACACATACACGCCCACACACATTCACAAACATGCATGCATGCATGCAAGCACGCACAGACACACACACACACACACACACACACACACACAGTAGCTTCCCTGCTCAAATATGAACTGCTGTCTCTAGTTGAATATAAAAGGCATTTTTCTTAGTATCTTCCCTTACAGTTAAGTCACATGTAAAATCCTGCATGTGAAGTCAAACCACATGTGCTTTTCAGACAGATGTTGGTTTTCAAAACTTTTGAGGTTGAATTACTTCATCTTATCAGACAGTTTTTAATTTTGTGTGTAAATTAATATTTATAAGTGAAACAACACTAAAGCCCTGCTACCGGCCCAGAGAGAATAGCAATGTTCATTACACGCTATAATATTCTTGGACATACTGATAATTTGCTCGTCGTAGAACCAGTAGTGGAGCTTAAAAAGTTTGTCCTGAGAGTAAAGGCCATGGAGTCACTAAAATAAAAACAGCTCATTTCCTTTGATAGTATGAACATGCTCACACATTTTTATGGCAATCTGCCACTGGATTTTAATATATCTCATGCACAAGTCAATCAATCAATCAAATCAATAAATTTCAAATCAATCAATTTAATCTTGATTGAAGGGGAAATCTTAGTTGAATGGCATGCCAGATTAAAGGTCAGGGTTCACCAAAATATTCATTACGTGTTGACTATAGATACGTTTTTATTATGGAAATCTGGTGATATGTCAATGCCAAATTTCTGATCAAGGGAAAATCTGACCCAGTGGTGGTGCTGGAGGAAAAGGTCACCGTCACTAAAATCAGAGGAATTATTCTTAAGGGATCAATAAAATCCATACAACATCTCATGAGAATCTGGCCAGTAGCTGTGAAGGTATCTTGCTTTCGACAAGATTGTATTTTCTATTCTAGACTTGTACCTTCTATTACATATGTTGTTGGACATGAATACTGAGTTTAAAGTCAAAAGTGATATTAGAATAGGGCGGCTTCACTTATTACACAACATGTGTACAAAAACACAAGGTTTAAATTCACTTTTGGATCCAATTTGACTCTTTTGTAAGCGGTATATCTCCCCCCACATACCTTTATTTATTAAATTAAATGACATCATGTGCGTATATCTATTTGTATGTACAATATAAAACAAGACTGATTACAGAATGTACAGTACATTGTCCCATGGCATGGGATTGCTTTCTCACTACGGATAAGTCACTCTGCTTGGTGCTCCCTAGACTGCATCTGTTATTACTAGGACAAGTTTCTGAAGTTGTATCTCTCAGCATTTCCTACTGTTGACCCTTAAAGCCGGATGTGAACAGAGAACCACTGGGGTGCTGAAGATAAGGACAAAGAAAGAAACCATCAAAACGAAGAGGGATTGCAAAGGCACACTAGACAGGCTACTTGCCCTTTATTTTCAGATACTTTCAATCAAACTGCACTGGGTCTGACTGAGGATACGACAAATGGGGATTGGCTGATAGCACAGCTCGACCAATAACCAAGCAGGACCGGGTGATTTAGTGAGACAGCAATCACGTACCACTCCATCGTTATGGATCCAGTGAGAGTACTGACAATGATACCATACACGCCCTATACAACTGAAGTCAACCGAATCATTCTCCTCGCTCCCTTCATTCAGACAGACATAGTAATTGTAAAATTGAACGTCAAGGTCAATTCTTTGTGCCTTAGCTTGAATATTGATTCAGTACCTTTACAGGAAGCTGACAAATGGGATCCACCATCTTTGTACATCACACATTCATGGTGACAGATTTTGGTTTCAGTTCATAAATGTAGCAGGTAAACAAAAGAGTAAAAAAAAAAGCAACAATAACCCATCCTAGGGATTGGTGGCACTTCTTAATATGGATGAATGGAATGGAATGAATAGCTGTCTGTCACCCTTTACAACCTGTTCAGAGAGAAGAGACACAAAATAAAAGAAAGTCCAGCTGGTCTAATAGATGCTTATCCCCTATATTTAAAGTATTGACTTGCTATAGGCCTAATACATACTATTTAATTATTCAGGGAAGATATTCAGTACCAGAAAAGGATGTCCGTAGATGAAGACAGGATGTGGGCAGGGTTTTAACAACTCCATTGATTTGACTCAACTGTCAGTGCTACATCCATGTACCTGAAGTTTCCCCTGCTGATTGGTAAAGCAGATGAGCTGTTTGTGAGCCAGCTGAGTCAGTCTCAGGACTGCTGTGGTTTCCCACGGGTTCGTTACGTGAGCACAAAAGGCCGGGAGCACTGAGGCAGATGATGCACACGCCGCACACTGTGTCTGTCTACATGGATGGGCACAATTGGCCCAGCCCATGGGAGGCAAAGGGGTTTGTGGTTTCAGAGCAGGTGCTGGAGGCAGCAAGTCGGAGCGCAGGGTGACATGAATCAGAGAATCACACCCCCCTCTCAGAAAAAAAGACAAAAAAAGCAGTCGTTGTCTTGAACTCTTGCACTTTCTTCATCCTCGTTTCCGCCCCACTTGTATCCATCTTGTATTTGTCGACAACCAAAGCTCAACAGCTGTATGACTCCGTTGGTACCAGGCTCAGAGTTTGGATCTACTTATCCAGCCGATGCTGTTTCCCTTCCCCTCCCCTCCACTGCATGACTAACCCTTTGATTTGATAAATAAATAAAAGCTCTACAAGGGGGCCCCTTCTACCTCGCTGAACATGGTGCTTCCATGTGCCTTCAAAAGCCAAAAGAAAGAACTCAGAAAATAAGTTCTGCCTTTAGCCATGAGACACAAGCAGTGTTGCATCTCGCATCTTGTTTTTTCTTTTGTTGTTTTATGTAATTCAGTAGGGGGCAAGCTTGTCTTATTTTCCCTTTTTAAGTATGCATTCATGAAAAGTACTTTTGGACTTATAGTATTGATTCTTTTAATTACATCCTTTTAACTAGTTGCATTTCTTTGTTTATGGAAGAGTCTTAGTCTTTGGAAGGGGGCTAGAGGGTTTGGACTGGGATGGGAGTCTCACATGGCTGCAGGAAGTGGTTGGCTTTCAGTCCTACACAGTCTGAAAGGCCTTCGTCTGGGCGGGGACCATGAGGGTTGGGGGTGTTGGCCCAGACATGTTCCTGGAGTTGAATTTGGGAGTGACAGGGGGCTCGGGGGTCTTGGAGGGCACCACTGTAGTATAGGCTGGAGGGGACTGGGGAAAGCCTGGAGGCTGTCCGTTTTCCTTGAGAGCTGCTACAGCTGGTGGACGGGGGCGGTGACCACGCTGGGCACTGTTGTGCACCATGGACTGAGTGGAGGAGGCGCCGGAACGTGAGCTGCCAGAACGGGACGAGGACAGGGAGTTGGGCTTCACGAGCTTGGCCTTGGGAGCCTCTGCATCCTCCCTGTAGTGGAAACACACACACACACACACACACACACACAGCAAATCATGATGACAATGGTCCATATATTTTATATCAACTGTGCTTCTGAAAATAGAGAAGAGCAACCCACAAACACACACACACACACACACACACACACACACACACACACACACACACACACACACACACACACACACACAATGAACCGCAAAACAGCACAACACAGTGCTATTCTAAGACCCTATTCACATGGGACTAGTATTATGTGGGGACCTCATGTAATTCATGAGATACCCCCCAGCCCCTGAGTTTTGTGAAACACATTTGCATGGAATAATGAAATCTGCTGAAATCACTAGTTCCCCAGACACACTCGCTGAAGGAAAAAAAAACTTTTTGCTGAGAACACAATGAAAACTTTCCATTATAACTCTTTATAACTACTTTCACCGACAGAAGGAGGATCCACATTTTACAAAATAGTACAGACAAATTAAAACAGCGTGGCAAAAACAACTTAAACTGTCAGTGATATCAAGCACCGAAATTAAGGTAATTTGTGCTGTGATTGTAACGTGGATGGTATTGACATTGCAGAGGAGCTTTCAGTTATTACAAATCACCAGGTCACGAGGGTGCGTGGGTTGTCGCCAGGTAATATCATTCCATGTAGATAAGGCTTATGACTCTCTACAGAAAGTCAGTAATAGAAACCAATCATCTGTGCACTGCTGGCTACATGGTAACATTTCTCAGACACACCAGAAAAGGTTCTTTGACTCTTAGAAGAAAAAAAAAACAAAATCTTAAAACAGCACTGAGGTTGGTTCTAAATCAATACCCACGAGAGACAGAAAACACTTCCTCACATCTACATTATTTACTTGAAGCTGTCTCTCAACCATGCTACATTATTCATTGTTACATCGGTAAATATGCACCTACACCGACTCCAGTCTGTCACAAAAAAAAAATGCCGTTGCTTTTACAAGTGTCATTAGCGGCCCACAGAGCCCCCAATGCACGCAGGCTTTAGAGTGAGGAATAAACACTATTGTGATCCCTGATGTCACACAAAGATGCACACAGAAAAATACAAGGGAGGTGTGAAAAGAAGGCTCTTCAAAGATAATCGATGAACACTTGACCTTGTAGTTGCTTTTATTTTTTTGATACACACATAGGTAGGCAGACAGGCAGACAGCAAACACACTCAAGCATACAGGGGCTGTTGCTGTGTCAATTAGTATCTGACTTGAAGACAGTAACTGGTTCAGAACAGTTTCATTTGAAGTGGTGCTTATAGGGTAACACACACAGGGTAATACACACCTATGTGCTCAAACCTTTCAAAGCAATTGCTAAGAAGAGTCAGAAAACACTGTAACTGCAATAGATATTCACAGTTATAGTAATTTCTTGCCTTTATTTGCAGACCAGCTGAAAGATAGAAATGTGAGAGATAGTGAGGGGATGACATGCAGCAAGAGTAAGGGTCGCAGGCTGGAATCTAATCCGGCCTGCTGCGGTAAAGGCTTTAGTCTTTTGTTTATGGTGCGCTGTTATACTGGGTGAGCTAACCGACACATCTTTATAAAATACTTTTAAATATTCAAAATGTGTGTTACTCTCATAGTTTAATTCTAGGACATTATATTAATCTAGTCTCTGCTGTGGGGGCAACACTAACTGCAAAATGTACTTTACTTTTTTTTCATTTGTTTGCATTTGTTTTTGTGGCTCACCTGCCAACAGTGCATACAGTATGAATATCACATCCCCCACTGAGCTTGAGATTATACTAAGGGAAGTACAGGTGCTGAGGGTGCAGCAGCACTCACATTTCCAGCTTCACCACAACCGCAGCTACAGGTGGCTAAAGTAGACTATCTTTATATTGTTGCAAGGTGCCTTTTTTCTGTCTCATTATTCCCACATGTCCCTGTTTCAACAGGTAACAGGTAACAGGTTTAAGCTCATTTAAAAGTGTAAATGCAGCTAAACTAACAGAGCAACAGTCCCATAGAGATACAAAAACACATAGAGAAACACATGTGGCTCTCCATTCTCATAATAATCCAATCTCAAATATCCAGTAAAATTTTGCATTTTGCATGCATTGTAACTAGTAAAATAGTTGACAAATGTCAAAAATGTGAACCAGTCACTGAAGAAAAGAGGATGAGCAAACCTGATCTCATTTGGAGTCTCCTCCTCCTCGTATTTCTTTTTCTCCTTCTTCCGGAAGACGAGCCAGATGATTAATATGACAATAAGCACACCAAGGGATATTCCCACCACTGCACCGGCTACCATACCTACATCCCTCACATCTGTGAACAGGAAAGAGTGATGAGAGACATAGTCACTTACTGTCACATGAAATTCATAGTTTTCATTCTTAATCTTTAATTCACAAACACCTATGGTCAATGCTTATCTAAAGGAAATAGTTCAACACTCCCTACATTTGTGCCACTGCGCCCAACTTCAATTTAACACCAGGGCTATCAAACAGTTTTTGCTGAGCTACTAGATGTGTCATTTTCTCTACACATGACCCCAACAGTCTTGGTCCTCTCAGGAAATATATTAGTGTGACAGTGAAACATAACTGTAGGTGGTGACCAGTAGCTACCAGTTTAAGTTTAGCACAGTCCCTATAGTGTTAGAGCACCGGGAGGAGGGTGTGGGGAGGTAGATGGAAAGGCAGGTAAGGGAATGAATGTATTTCCAGCTGCAGTTTGAAACAATAACCATCAATCAGTGTGGCAGTTCGGTGTGAGGCGAGCGCTGCGAGGTCGACTCTCCCTTCCCTCCCAGAACTCACGCTGCATTGTGACCTCAATGGTGCAGTTTTCCTCTCCCACGTCATTGCTCGCTGTGCACCTGTAGACGCCTGTGCTGTCCATGGTGAGATTCCTCAGGGTCACAATCTCTGGGTTCTTGAGATCTGGGAAATTAAAACAGTACAGAATAGACGCATAAGAGGAAGTCTGAGGCAGTTTCGTACAAGTAACTGTTTGTGTGCAAGTGTCTACTGTATATTGTTTTGCATTCCTTCATGTTTATCCTCAATGTCAAATACATTTGCAGGACAGGAGATACAAGCAAAATGTATGTTATTACTGAAGAAAGGGAGAGAGGGATAGAAGGAAGAAGCACATGGGAGCGCATGTGAGAGAGAGACATGGGCAGGTTGTTTATTTAAGAACGAGGGCCATCACACTGAGGAGGACTTGAAGGCAGTAGCAGGAGCGTGTCTGAGAGAGCGCTGGAACCCCCCATGGGATATTTAGTCATCCTTGCCAATGACAACCATGTGATATTACCTTTCACCAGACCCATAAATAATGCCCGCTGACGCAGTGCGTTATCGTCCAATGAAAACTAATTAGACTGAACAGGTGTTGTTTGGTGAAGGTCATTAATTTGAAGGTTTTTGTCTGGGCACGTGCCATCACGGATGACAGTTGAACATTGGAGGGAAAACTGAGACAGGGAGGTTGGCACCCCGGGGGTGTTTATGCCGGTTTAGAGAATGCACAGTAGAGAGAATTGCCCTACCATTAGCTTCTCTGCTATAAACTGTCTCTGTTACTATTTAGAGAGGGATATGCATGGTTATGATCCAAGCGGAATGCCAGAATCCACACCATGTGAATGACGTGTGCCTCAGGGCGACTACGGAGCCAATGTTTTTTTTTGGTACAGAATGTAGTGGGAGCTGCCAGTCCAGTTCTGTGTATTACATTTGATTTTCTTCTTTACACACAATCCAAGAAAACTCTCACTTCACACTGACTTCATGCATACAGGTATAATTCACTTGAGCCAGGCTGACATTTCAGTGTCACAGACATCTGCAGTAGATTACAGTATCAGCCTGGATCCTTGTGTTTATATAACTCATCCCAACAGAGTACAACTAGGAATCACAGGTCTGTGTTCTGTTTGATTTCCTGGGGAAAATGTAGTATACATAAAGTTGTATTTAGCTGTAGATGGTAGTACTGTTACTGGTCTGAAGGAAAGAAAGGAGTGCAGAGTCAGTGGCCTAACTGGGACAATCTGAACCCATCTAAGTGCCCTTCTCTGGTGTATCAGCTCAGAGAGCCACAAGTAGAATGCAGATTTAGGTGGCAGTTTTTGCAAATGTATGAATATAAAGTTGGTTGGGGGGAGAAAAAGGTGGTGTGCTCAGCAAAATGCTTCCCTGGATAAACGCAGTCCATAAAAATCACTAATATGAAGATTAATCTACACAGAACTTCTCTGCAGCGGACTTGAATGGTGAATCAGCACGTCAGTATAGTGGCAGTTATTTTCCTTACCTATCAGTGCCAGGTTTGGCAATTTCCCCAGACTCTTGCCTTTGTCCAATACTCGCTCCCACTTGTAGCTGATGGGGTCAGAACCATCGCTGGACTTACAGCTCAGCTTTACATCACTGCCCTCCAGGAGTTTGCCATCCATCCAGCACCTTGGCTTGGAGGGTTTGACTGTAAAAACACATTGGAATCAGAGCAATTTTCAGACAAATGTGCAACAAACAAGCTGTTCTTTATCACATCCGCACAGATGTCATTTTTAGTTTTGCATTAAATTTCAACCATTTAGATGCCTTTTCCCTATTTTGATGTGATGACAGAGCAAAGTAATAGAACAAGCAAACAAAAGTAAGGCAGAATAGTGAATATTGCACAGATGTAATTTATCAATAATATGTGAAGTTTGTAGATTTTAATGTAAAAATAAACTAAAAATAAAAATATAACAGATATATTCATCTAAGTCTACAAGAACCTTTGCTAATCATTTAATTTGCAGATATTTTAATCAGCAAATCTGTAGCACCATAAAACTTTTTGAACTTGTTCCACTGACAATAAATGAGAAACTTATAGGTACTGAAACTGTGGCCTGTGTGATTATATGGGGATATGCACACATCTCCTAACTCTGAACTCTTATTGCTATTATAAAATAAAGTGTAAAAGCTCAAACATATATTCTGTGAGTTAATAAAATCTATCTTCCTTTCATTGTCAAAGCATAGGTCAGTGATGTTATTATTCTCTAAGTGTCTAAAATGAGCTGTATAATAGTTGACAATGAATTTTCTCTTTAAACAGGAAATTTACTGAAGCATGACTTATTCCATCATGTAAAGCAATTCAGTTCACACTAGTGTATATCAGCTCAGAATAAAACATGAGCAAATGCATAAAAGAGATATAATAATAAAACAAATGGCTTGTTGAGTTACATTAAGTTGAATTGTTAAACATACATTATAAACTTTATTTGAACTTATCTATCTATAGCCATGTAATTTACAATTCTTAATAAGGATAAGAGCGGGTAGCACGGCATCATGGTCCCATAGGAAATGGATCAATGTGACCCCAAAGCTGGCTGGAATCGCTTGTGGTAATATGTTCTCCACAGGTCAAAGGTTTTGGTCATAGTATAGTAGCTGGAGGCTGGTGTCTGCTAAGCCCGGTACAGCTGCTCTGTTTGGATACATGCTGAGAGGCACCGCGAAGCTATGAAAACAGTAAAATAGCACACTGTTTTCTCCCTCGCAAGTGACATATTTTTAGATCAGTGCCGAACTAAATTTAAACATCTGTTTTGTTTTTCTGTTATGCTGTCATATTAGTGGTTTGGACTTTTGTGTATTTGGCTGTTGCTGCTTGTCAGCAAAGTTGCAGTACAAGTAACTCTGTAATGCTAAAATGTAGTGAGTTCGTCGTAGCTGGTACATAAAGCCAGATAGCTTTTGTGTATTCCTCCCTTTGTTTGTCTATCCCCTCCTCTTATCCGTCCCGTCCCCATCTGCCTGTGCATCTTGTAGCTCTGTCAGAGTCAGTTAGGCCTAACTGCAGCAGGAGCAGTTGGAGCGCATAACCTCAGACACAAATACACACTTATATATGTCACCCCCCCCCACTCCCGCACACACACACACACACACACACACACACAAATACAACACACACGTCAAAAAACTGCACATGCATATCCACACACTGTGTAACAAGAAAAGTGCAGGCATCCAGGCACATGAACACATACACAACCACTGGAGGCCGGCATAAACCCTGGCGCGTACACAAATACATACACTCACACACTCTCTCATGCCAAGCCAGCTACCAGCTCCGCTGCCAAGCTATTATCTTAGCGCGGGGAGCGAGAGAAAAATGCAAATGTTGGTCTCTCTCAAAATCGAAAGTGTCACCGAAAAGCTGAGGGCAATTTGTAAAAATCGAGGCACTAACTCACTGAAATGTCTTTATGGAAGAGAGAGGAGAGTGAGAGCGAGAGGATTAACAGACTGTTCCATTAGAAAACCAATAACCGCGGGTTGAACTAATCTCCCATGATGTTTTAATAAATCGCCTGCTTTTCTGACATTGAGAACGATCTTGCTCCTCCCGCTGGACTTTGTGGATAGCTTTTGTGGTACAGCCTCTCCCCTTTTGCTGTCTGTCCTTCAGAGTTGTTTAGCTATTTGAGATATGCAGGCAGAGACACATATTAACACTGATCTAGTTGCTAAGCCATTTATAAAAATCTGTATATTGGGTGAACGAGAAAAACAAAAAGAATTTAAAAAAAAGAAGGGGATACGATGTACAATGACTTTGCAGTGGCGTATGAGGCCAAAACAGGCTCTTCTATCGTTGCAAGAGATGACTTGTACGAATACTTTTTCCTAAGTAGCTTATCAATAGTTAGATGATGGCAGTTGCCTTTTTTCAATGTCATTTTCAGTGACTAAATTTCATTACAGAATGTCCCTCAAACTTAGAGCAGGGTCTGTTGTCTGTCTTCTCACAGATCGCATAGAGGACACAAATGTATTAGCCTGTGCTATAGGCACACAAAGAATTTATCTTCATGCTTTTCCATATAATTCAGACCCTAACATAATCAATCAGCCCTATGCTCGTATGTTTCTGGTCTCACCTCATCAACAAACCAATCCAAATGAACCCAAACAGCACGAGTGAAATCAAATCACTCTGTCTGAATCAAATTGAATCATTAGATCAGTCAGCATGACAGAGGAAATGTGCCAGGCTAATGATTCAGTGATTAGGTCTGTGTGTGCGAGTGAGAGAGAGACTGTGTGTTTATATATGTACAAATGGTTTTGGGTCTCTTCATAACCTGATGGCATGTGCGCGGACGTTCATGCTAGTGGGCACCTGTGCGTGTATGTGTCTGCCGCCTGTTTGTGTGTGTGTGTGTGTGTTTGTATTACAATGTGTCTGACAACGCTCACCCAGCACAATGAGGTTGACCTGGCTCCAGTGGTACTTTCCCCCAGTCTTGACTTTACAGTAGTATTCCCCAGAGTCAGTCAGCAGGAGGTCACTGATCAGCAGGGAGGCGTCTCCACCCAGGTACTCCCCAGCAAAGGACAGACGGCTGGCCTCACTGCCCGTCGCCTCATTGGTGTACACCTGGCCCCCAAAGAAGGTAATGATCTAGATGTAGTGAAAAGAAGAAAATTAGAGATTTATTTTAACATTGTTTTTTTTGTATTCAACACAGGCCTTGAGAGAGAGAGAAACTGTTGTTCAGCAGGAAGGTTAGCTGGCATCTGTCCTTCTGTAGTGTTTTTAAAAGAAAATCCTAAATACCAAACTCTCTTGTGTCTTTCAAATAACTAAATAAAAAGTTGTCTCACTGCCATTTATCCTGCATTACTCTTCCTTTTAGACTAATTTTAACACATTTCCTCTTGGACCCAGTAATATAAACTAACATTTGAACTGTTATCCATCTAATTAATGCAACCAATTCCTCAAATAAGGCTTTCATGTCAATTACCAACTCGTTTGGTTAACTTAATTTCTATGTCCCAGCAGTAATACCCTTGATATATTTGACTGGTATCCTTCCATTAACATTTAAAATGATGTAACTCTAATGATGGTGTACGTACAGCTCATACATATCTACATAGTCCCTCACTGGGTGCACAGTCTTGAGAAAAACAGAATACCAGCACTCATGGGTAACATTGTTAACAATCACTTTTTAATTAACACTTGGGAAATAATATTTTACAAATGAATGCCTTTGCTGGAATGCCAGTATCCTGCCAGTGTTCATTTAGCCGATTATCTGTGAGCGCTGTTATCTCCTGATGCTCTTTCTACAAGCGGAGCCGTCAAATTGACCAAATAAAAACCTATTCTGGTGCCGAGATAAAAGATTAAAAAACCCACAGCGGCACTGATGTGATGTTAGCACTCTGGCTAAAACAAAAGGCTAGGGAACTAAACAATGCCTCGCACCCGCCATAGTCCAAAGTACATATTAACCTGTAGTATATATTCAGACAATAAATGTGTTATGTTTTTATCTCTTTTAATTTTTGTCTTATTCTATTTAGCAGGAAATCTAAAAAGCTACTGAACAGAAAATTACAAGATTAGGCGATTTGCATGCTAGATTTTGGTCAGACCTGGATCTAATAGTGCCACAGCGTTATCATTTGAAAGCACTGCATTTGTGCATATTGTACATATCACAAAATAATATATATATCAATAAATCAAATATAAATACACAGGACACAAGGATCACAACTTTGAAACAAACATTAAAATGAGGCTAGTGTAGTAAAATAAGTTTGTGTTACAGTTTACTCTATGTTTCTTTCTTCCTTATTAAAATATGATGATTGTAAATTTCACTGTAGACATCTAACATCTGTAAACCTGTACTTGGATAGCTTTCATTTGTCTTCGCTTATGTCTATCCTCTCCTCGTTTCTCTTTGCCTCTTTCTCTATCTCCCTCTCTTTCCGTCCACATACACAAACACAAACAAACACAGCTGTCACAGTGGCCTATTACTCAGGGCAAGTGAGAGCCTGCAGATGGGGACTGCTAAATGCCGGTGCCACAGTGTATCAGTGCCTAAGAAACAGGGGCACCTGCTGTGATCACAGGTGACGACTGGCCATTTACACAAACACACACATGCTTAGCCCCCCCCCCCCCCCCCACAAACTAGTGTCCAAGCAAACATGTGGAGTACAAACACACCACGAATGCAAACAGACATACGTTACTGTGCCACAGCTTTAGGCACAGAGAGACACTGCCCTGGCACTTAAACAGAACAGTGAGACATATTTTAAAAAGCATCTGCCTATAGGCAAACTTCAGCTGCTGTCATGAGCCGTGGACACATATTACTCACATATACGTGAGTATAGACTATGCTACTTGTGCATGTGTATTTATGCTTCTTGTTGTGTCTGGGTGCAGGCTACTCTCAGCATGTGCTGATAATACTAGAGATAGTGAAAATGCCAGTGAGTGTGAGGAATTTAAGAGGAATATAGTAAAATGGCCAGGAGCTGTTAGCATAGTTTGCAATTAAGATGAGGTGGTTTGTTTATTCAGTAAAAACTGAAAATACTGTATTCAGACATTGAGTGTCTCTGCCTCCTCTAGCTGCCTCCTCCTCTTTTTTTTTGAATAGATGTCATTAGATAAACATTCGGTTCAGTTATTTTTACTTAATACAGTAAAAATGTTTTACATTTTTGTTTATTTACAAGGTTATTTTATAAATAAAAGCATTTAATATTACGTGTAAAAGAACCTGAACTCTGCCTGTATGTGTATGAGAAAAATATCAGATTCTCATTTGCGTATCTTATTTCATCACATAAAATACTTAAAAAATATATAGTTAAGACAGTTATACATGATAGCTGCTCACCTATTCTCTGATTAAGGAGGGATTGTTAAGGATTATTCAGACCAGAGTGACATATATAAGTCAGCGGCTGCCATAACAGTATCCATGTGAATAGCAGAACCATATTTGCCATTGTTGGAGAAAGTCTTTCTCTCTCTACTAATAATGAATATTAGTCAGCTCAGTTGGTCACAATTGTCCTGCTATTAAATGCCAAAGTATGTTAAAATTTGTGTCCTGGAAGGTCAGAAATTTAGCATTTTCTTACATTGACAATCACCAGCATGCAGTAAGCCACTGTACCACACTGCTGCTGGTGTATTTTCCAAGAAAGGATGATCATTTGTGGAAAGCAGCTTACTTGCATGGATTTCATTTTTTGGAAAAAGACATCCTTCCATGTCTGTGCCACAGCTGTTGCTATGACAATGCACAGTGTTATGAGTAACTATAAATATAGTTGCAGGTCAGCACAGTGACGAGGGCCAGTCTCCTATCATTCATCTTGAAGAGTGCAGATGAACTTTAGTGAGATTCATGGAGTGCCCCCTCTCATGCCCCTGTCTCCAGCCCATCTGTGTCCTTAACACATGATAACAGAGGCTAAATGTTGACAAGATGCTCTTTCCCTCTCAACAGGGCCTTCCAGTAGAACAAAAGAATTATTTATTTATTCAGCTACAGGCACAGTCTCATTCCTAATCAAATTTTCAGACATTTGATTTTAATTAATGGCGCCTTCATTGTTGTCTTCCCGTTAAATATTCATCGCAATGTGGCAGCCCCTCTACAGTATGAATCATCAATGCGTAAGACACGTTTTCCTCCTTTCTTTCAGTCCTGGCCCCTCTGTTTCCCATACACATGCTTTTCTTTTCTTTCTCACAGTGTTACGCTTCTCTGTGCTAAGAAACACATCAGTGAACGGACAAATGACTTCCAAAGAGAAAGGAAAACTCTTTCTTCCGACAGAAGGCTGGTGAGATTTTATGCTCTGTCTGTTATCAGATACTATGTTCAATTTGGGTGAAGAAAGACAATGATTCAAAACCAGTGAAACGATACCAAAACGTCTTCAAAGGATGTGAGACACAAATCCAATTTAAGGCCATTTAAAGACTTTTGGCCAGGCAATTCTTTACTTAGGACAGAACAGCTGTGCTGCTGTTTAAGCCTGGAAGATATGATGAAGTCTAGAATTACCAGACAGTTTCTAGTTTCAGGTGGACACAGCAAAGACAATCCAAAGCAATATCACTGATGTGAACATAGCAGAATATATAATAACTAGGGCTGTCAAATGATAAATTTTTTCTTAATCGCGATTAATTGCTGAATTTCAATAGTTAATTGCATGTTTTATCACATGATTAAAATTCTATTATTATTATATATCTTAACTGTTTTAAGTCTGTATTAACAATGATAACAATTCTTGCCAGTGTATCTTGATTGGAAATCAAATTAATGCAAAGAAAGTTAGTTTTTTAACTTGACTTTAAGATTTATTTGATTATTTCAAATCAAAAGACATGCATTGAGACTGAGGTAAAACAATCAATGTAAATTAAATATAGTCTTCCTTAAGCTTGCTTTCAAAAATTCTACAGCAAAAGTGCATGTACAAAATGTACACACATTATAATAAAGTGCATAACAAACATAATACTCCATTGCTACATTATTTTTGAATTCATTTGAAACCAATGAGACAGCACTTGCTTTAAGTTGGAGTTTCAGTTTGACTGCTTTCTCCGTTTCATACAGACTATGTATGCGTGCAACAATTGTCCCCTGCGACGACAAACAAAGGGCAGTATGTCCTAAGTTGTTCAACACATCTAGATGTGAATACCAGGAAATAAAAGCTGAAATTCTGAACTCTTGTCTCATACTCATCTTTTGATCTTAAACCCAAATGTCTTTAGTTAACAACGAAAACAAAGGAATTTGCCTTACCGTTCCAATACTTTTGGAGGAGACTGTAACGTTATACCTTGCACTCCTTGCAATAATAGTGCTTTGCCTCAGTCTGTTAGCATCAACATGATTAGCTGTACTACTAGCTGCATGCTTAGCTCGTTGATGGGAACGTTAAATTCCATTTCACGCAAGGTGCATACTGCTTTTGACTTGTCAACGGAGCTGTCTGGGACTGTGTTGTTGTTCATCTCCATGGCTGCAGCAGGAGGTAGGAAGTGTCTGTGGCAGCATGACAACAAGTAAGGGTGCATCGAAGGGTCAAAATAGTAGCAGCCAAAGATCTTTTTAGCAAAGATTCCTTTTAGCAAAGATTCTTTGGTTGAAAATCACAACAACACAGCAAATATAATTCTAACTTGCCAAGAAAGCAGAAGCAGAAAGCAGAGTGACAGATACTAAGGGTAGACTGTCTTTATTCCATGAGCTAACATTTTGGAAACAGTGTGCCTTTCTTAGAGCTTAAAGGAGTGTGCGCGTAGTCTCACATCAGTAGTGTGTTGGTTAAACAGTGTACAGTAAGATTTCTAGAGGACATGTTAAGGTCTGTTAGCTAACGTTAGTCGAGCTAGCGATATCTAGCTAGCTTAAAACCTTCCAGTTCTTAGGATAGTGTTAGTTATCAAGCTAACAAGCTAACGGCCACTAATAAGTTGAAATGAAAACATAATCAAGACTGATTATGTGTTGACAGTCACATTTATAAAAAATGCATGAAAATCATGTTCAAGTTTTCCTAGTGTTTATGGTTGCCATGCTCTAGAAAAAGGGTCCAAGGTTACAACTACAAAATGACTTGGGTGACACTGCTGCATGATTGCTCCTTTGTGCGAGACACTAAAACTTGACGTGCCACAGTAACTTTGGGCATTGAGTCTAACTATTACAACTCCTGTTGGAAATCAATCAGCATGACTTAGATGGAGGACAGAGGATAAAAAGTATATGTGAGAAAGAGAGAGAGAGAATAGAAATAGAAGAGAGAGGTATGTGTTTTAGCACAAATGTTCCCATTGTCATTTTGATATTCCCCTAGCAAAGGTCGCAAAACCTAACTCCAGGATTCAAAGCCATCAGAAGTGTGTTTAAGTTGTTCTTGTGTTTATGTTCTGCCTGTAGCATAAACCAGCTTTGCTTTTTACTTCTGAAGAGGACAGAAATCTGGCTGCTCCTCTTGGCAGTTAAAGACGCATTATATTTTACACTTACTATACTTAGCAGTAGCTTAAGAATGCCCTAACCACCCAAGTAACTATAAGTCTTTCTTATCATGGTGATACATTGAACTTACAATTTCCTAATGTCCTAATTTCAATGAATGTGTTGACAAACCATTTGGCAATAAATAAGGGGGGATAAAATAAATCTTATCTCACCACTCTCTGTTTGGAGTTTGGTTTCTGCAGTAGCCACTCAATGTCAAGAGAGCTGGATGACGGGAACTGGTGGTGGCATGGTAAGGTGGCATTGTCCCCAACGACCTTCTTCATCTCCGTCTGGGCACCCACTGACAGTAGGCTGAATAGAACTGAGAGAGAGGAAGAGAGAGGTAGGGAAAGGGGTGGAAAAGGAGAGGGAGAAGTCAGATGGGGACTCTAGCTCGATGTAAACTTGAGACAAGAGGCAGATGCTGCGGATAGAAAGCAAATCCATGCCGATACAGGAAATTGAGACGGAAGACGCAGCGAGAGATGTGACCCAGAATCCCAATCACTATCTGACAGATGCTGAGATCTGTCACACCCGAACACTGGAGAGAGATGGAATGGGGATTCTTTTAACAGGAAATAGAGTTTGGCATGGGAGGTCAGAGGAAAGTATTATGATGCGCTTTTTGTTAACCCCCTTTGACAAGGGCAGTCAAACAACACATTCTTATTCACAGCAACAGCTGTGGGGAATTGTGGCCCGGGAAGGAAAGGCACACAGCTTTTGACTCCCGAGGAGCTACGCTGCCTGCACATGGACATGTCTACTATAGAACTGAAAAGATACAGTCACTTGAATTAATAACATTTTCCAAACTAACCCTGGCCACTTTCCTACTATCACATGTGACAAAATGAACAAAATGGAAACACGTTTGAAGTTTGACACTCTCCGCAACTTTTGCAAATGTTACATGCAACAATAATAGCACACGCAGCAAACAATTCCACAGTCTACTCAGTGACGCTTGGGTTGCAATAAAAAGTACCAATAATTATGAGTGTGTGCACAAGCGAGTGACTTTTGGCAGTGGCCAGACTGTCAGGGCCTGTGTCTCAGTGGGGGAGCAGCAGGGCTAATTTATTGGAGGATGCTGGACAGCCCAGCGGGCTTGAGTGGAATTAGCCAGAGGCGTCACTGGAGTTTGCTGGAAGCTGAAGCTATGGATAGTGTTGCTGTGTGTGTGTGTGTTTGAGTGTGCCTAGAGGGGTTGGTGCACTGCTGAGATATTCGACCCCCTGCACCTGGTAGAAAGACTGTACAATGCTGCAGAGCTCCACTGAGCTCACACACCCAAATGTAACAGATATTTTGGGCTCTACAACATTTAACTTCTGCCTTTAAATTAGTTGCAATGCAATAGCTCCCAGGGATTCTGAGTGCTTAAAATAAAGTTATCCAGCCAGCAGATGTTCATTTGGAATCATGCAATAATGTTCAGGTTGTGTAAATGTTGTTTAATTATCATGCTGCATAATAGTTTGAAAGTTCAATATTTCCTTCTGTTTGCATAGAATAAATAAACATCATAGTGTGGGACACGTATCTGAACAAAACTATGTCAAATCACAGTTGTTAGTGTTAGTGTGATTCAACCCAGAGCTACTCAAAGAAAGAATGCCTTTGTGCTCAGCAGACACAATCACATGCTGTCAAATGTTCCACAGGAGGCCAAATGTGGCCTGTGAATGCATCAGCACTCACTGGGCGCCTGTCCACTTCTTCACTGGTCCATCCTCACAGGAGCCAACACCCTGTCCCATAAGTGATCTCTGGGCCAATCAAAATGTCAGCTCTGTGCTGTGAAACCATTGAGTCAGTGCTGATGCAGGACACAGGGGCGAAAGCGAACCGCTTCTTCCATACAGATGACATCATCTGGTGGATTTCAGCAGTTCTTCAAGTTTTGTTTAAGCTCTGTCTCTACTTTGAGTCTTCGGCTATAAACTCGAGCTCCGGGCTACTCACTGTCAATCAGGTTTAAGGTTGCCAATTGGCATTTACCAGTTGGATGGAGAGAGAGAGAGCACTTTACAGTTGGCAGAGTGTCTGTGTGTCTGTTTTAGCAGTCCAGGAGTGACAGGGCAAATTGCTGAGGTGCTTGTGCTCTGTTGGGCCACCTGCTCAGTTCAAATCATTAGTCAGCAGAAAAATAAGGGCCACCCCTCCTCACAAAGGAGCTCCTGGACCCTGAAGGTATCCCCATTTATGACTTTTTAATGCAGCATTTGCTGGGTCATTCATCTTGTGGGCTCCCCACTGATATTAGCTTTGATGTCAGAAAAGAGAGAGAGTGCTTTGCAGTGTAAAGTATATTCAAGAGGGAGAATGTTCAGGCCATGTGTGTGTGTGCAGTTGGTTGGACCTAATGGTGTGAGTTAATGCCTGATGGTGGTATAGGGGGTCTGCTAGGAGACCTGTGCCCGCTGTCTCTCCTCAGCTCCTCAGGCTAGCCTCTGTAATCAGTGCTCCCACACTCATCAGCAGCCCAGGGCTGAACACAGCACTGTGTAGCAGGCCTGATAAGAGCTCCCTGCTTCCTTTCTCACCTCCCACCTCCTACTTAACTGCCCACCGCTTCAACTGTAGGCTCTGTAAATGGAAGAGTTTACCTGAAAGATAGATAGGGCCAGGGTGACCGCTGAAAGCGGGGCATTGCAATCTTTTCTCACACAAAGTACTTGACTTTCCACTAGCTGACTTTAAATTGACCTTCAAACAATGACTGGGGTCAGCTCACTAAACTTGGCATCGCTGGTGTCTAAAATGTGCTTCATTGCCCAACACTGAGGATGTGAGTGCCATAAATTGTACGTATTTCACAGAAAAGTAAAGATGGCAAATATTCTGCATCTGTGATGGAAAGAAAATTGTCTTGTTTTTTGCCAGAAAGAGTTGGGTATTGACTGGTATACATCTGCTGCTCCTCACTTTCCCACTTATATATGGTCTTGCAGAGGGGCTTTAGTGCTGTGGAATGGATGACACAGTGCTCCCAAAATAAGCTTGCCTTGATATGAGTTTGCGCTTTCATTTAGATTGGCCTCATTCACCACACAGTGTGCACAGCTGGGCTGGTTGGACTGCAAGACCCCATCATTTGTGTCAACATCAACTATGAGACACAATAGAATTCATCTCTGTGGCAGCTACACACTGTATAAACAATTGTTATGTCAGTCAAGTTTGGGTTTATGACCTTTGCTTTCAAACGCAGTAAGGTGACCTAGAAGAACTACAAACTGTGAACCGTATCAGCTTAAACCTAGATAACATTCCTGGTCACAGACTAGCTGTGTATGCATTCATATGTCTTTATGAGATTCCATAAGAACATGGGAAAGGCGATCTAAATAAACATGGCCATATTGAGGGAGAGATAAATGTGGAAAGGACTGATATGGTAGCTGGTGCCGTATCCTACACCCCTCTTTCTCTTTTATTGTGTCTGCTTTTCTGAGCTCTGTTTGGCTCAGCTTCATGAAAAGAAGCACATCATAATTAACAAAAGAATGTGGGAGCTAACACCAGAGGTTTTGAAAGGGAGAGTCAGAATGAGAGAGAAAGATAGACAGATTTGAGAGTGAGTGAGATGATAGGGTGAAATATGGAGGAACCCATTTCTATGACAAGGCCCTAGGGGGAGTTGTGCTCCAGTAAATCCGCCTTACAGAGCCCTGCAATCTTATTATAGTGTGGCCAGTGAGACGGACAGACAGACAAACAAGGCAGGCCTGGATCTTTCACACTGCCCAAAGTCAAGCCCCATATCCCCTCAGTCAGCACATTGGCCTGGCTGGGGCCTTTGCAATGTCCAAAGCTTATGACCTCTGGTACTCAAACACAGCAGATCAGAGAAGGGAGAGGGACAGACGGAGATTGAGGAGTGGAGAGGAGTGAAAGGACAGAGAAAAATGGGTTGAGGGATGGATGGAGGGATGGTGCAATGCCTTATTTTTAGCACTTACTGTAAGTCAGTGTTGTGGAGGATTGATTATACCATCACAAAGGTGGTTTTAGACACAGGTTAGCAGATGCACAAAAGCAGAAAACGATTGGAGGTATCACTATTATATTCCTGCTGACAATTTCCTGTTGTGCGCATCCATGCTGCTTTTCATGGAATACGGTTGGCCCATTTTATGTACATGTGTGACTGCTGGTGTGTATGAAATATAATTTATGTGAACACATGCTCTCTCACAAAGACACTTCCCATGCTGCCTATCTGAATAACAGATATACGAGGGACTATCTTTTGCTGACAGTAAATAGCGCCTCAGCACATAAACCTTTGATTTGGCTGCTGTCATCAGCCTAGTCACATTTGAGTAACATGTACAGCCTCACTGCAGAATGCAAAAGCAATAATCATCTCCCAACCCTGCCAATCTGTAAAAGAGCTGTTTATCTTTTGTGAAGCACCAGGAGTAAATGCAGGATATTTTTTTGTCTATGACCTCCATATAAATTCTCTAAAATACAGGACGTTATTCATGTAACTAGCAAAATCTGACATAGCAAATATAAATACAATTCCTCCATTCTTAATGCTGACATAACGCGAGTTTTTAGCTGAGTTGCTGAGTGGAGCATAGATCTGATGAGACAACAGTGAAATCCTCACAGCTCAGCGTGCTGTTAAAAAGGCTATGTCTGCCCTGCCATGCACACACCAATAGTACAGCATTCTTGTGTGACCTGAATTGGTTATTCAAATGCCAAACATATATACTATAAATACCACCAATGTGGCACAGATAGGAGGCTACATCTTGCCCTTTCCTCATTCGTGATATCTTTGAGGATTTCAAAACAGACTGAAATGCCACAAAAATCTTAAAAGAGGTCTCAGCAGACACAAGGCCGCCTCCGGTTGTTAGTGCAAACCCCATGCACGGTGTGTGAGACAGTCCTTTATTCATACAGCCACAGCTCTCTTTTTAATTACAGCTTCTTAAGGGGTAAGTCTCTTTACATGTACCAAGTTATCATGCCCTATTAAAACACATGTTTTGCATGTGGCACACTACACTAGTCTCCTTGTAGTTTCAAGGTCCAACTCATGAATATATTGCTTCTGTGAAAATTAAAGGGGCTGTTTTTTCCCTGGCTGGAGGCTGGTTCTTTGAAGGGATAAAATCCCATAATGCTCCTTGCCTCACACCCAGCGACCGACACTCCCTTCTGCTGACATGGAGGTTTTGTCTATAACAATATAGAGCTAACTTCTAATTAACAATAGCTTACAAGTAGCCTAGTTCTTGAATAACTCCTTCCTCCTTCCTGATTGTTTACTTTTACCACAACTTGCCATTT